CCTAGATAAAAGATAGATTTTCATTGGTTGAGCTTGGTTAACAAAGTTAACACAATAATCTTGGTTAATATTTGAACCAAACTCTTTCTCTCTCTCTCTCTCTCTCTATATATATATATATATATATGTGTGTGTGTGTGTGTGTGTGTGTGTGTGTGGAGGTTCAAACGAAAACACCTTTAAATTACTAGAATGTGAGAACACCCTTATTACATTTGATAATACGCATGAGGGGACCCTGGATGTGCAGACGACGTGTTTTACGACTTAGGTCGTGTGAAAGGTTGTCTATGTCTATGATTTAGCATCACATGTGATGGTCTTGATGGATTATAGTATCATATCAACATGCCTCTTATCACATGTGATAATACATGTGAAGGGGCTTAGTGGTGTAAGAACGACTTGGCCTGCAACCAAGTTCGCACCAAAAATTGACCGCGTCTCTGTTTTAGTATCATATGTGATGGAATAATAGTATCACATGTGATTGTCTATAGTAAAAGGATGTTCTCGCGTTCTCATAAAATGAAGGTGTTCTCGTTTGAACCCTTCCCTATATATATATATATATATATATATGTGTGTGTGTGTGTGTGTGTGTGTGTGTGTGTATGGGCTCACTTTGTGCAAAGGCAATATCAAAGCTACAAATAATATTGAAAATGTCCTAAACAGACCATCTGTGGCGTCCTCAATGTTCTTAGCTTGGATGCATTGTAATCAAATTTATCAAGAAGCACGAGAACTCACTTACGTTGAATTCCCTACAAAGTTTGTGTGAAAATTGGACGAACAACGTTGGGATCGAAGGAAAAAAGGGTTCTCAATTGGACGGATTCATTCAGTTTCTTCTACTGTGGGAGAAGGATATTACTTACGAATTCTTCTGAATAAAGTCAAAGATCCTAAATCATTCGAAGACATTCGTACAGTTAATGGAAAAACATTTCTTACTTTTAGAGATGCATGTTATGCTCTTGGCTTTTAGACGATGACAAGGAATATATTGATGCCATTGAAGAGGCAAATTTAACTGCATCTGGTTTTTATCTCCGCTTTTTATTTGCAACCATGCTGATTTCAAACAGTCTATCTAGACCTGAATTTGTTTGGGAAAAAACATGGCAATACTTAGCAGATGAGATTCTCTACAATCAACAAATTGCTTTACAGTCGCTAGGTATGTTAATTCTATATCTTAAGCATAGAGTTATACAACTATTATCAACCACTATGGTTGTTATTAAATTGTATCTACTTTTAATTTCATGTATTAATTGTTTACATTTATATTATCTTCTTACAGATTTATCTCTCAATAAAGAACAAGTGAAGAATCTAACTTTGTTCGAAATTGAAAAGATTTTGCTTCGTAACAATTCCATGTTGAAAAACTTCACTACTCTGTCTTATCCTGATAATGATTCACTTGAATCTTCAAACAACCGTTTGATTGTAGAGGAACTGGATTATAACCATCATAATTTACGTGATGAGTTTTAGACACTTGTAACTTCTCTAAAAATGAGCAAAGAGGTGTGTATAACGAAATCATGACTGTGGTTGAAAAGAAAAAAGGTGGTGTGTTTTTTGTTTTTGGGCATGGCAGAACAGGTAAAACATTCCTATGGAAGATCTTGGCTGCACCAATAAGATCTAAAGGAGAACTTGTTTTAAATGTTGCTTTCAGTGGTATTACATCTTTACTTCTTACCAGTGGCAGAACAACACACTCTCGGTTTCAAATCCCGCTCATTCTCAATGAAGATTCTCTTTGCCACATGAAGCCAGACAGTGATATTGCGAGCTTAATAAAAAAAACTACTTTGATAATATGGTATGAGGCACCAATGGTTCATAAGCATGCACTTGAAGCATTAGATAGAAGTATGAATGATATTTTCAATACTCAACGCAGTGGTGACTCACATATGCTTTTTGGGGGTAAGGTAATTGTTTTTGGAGGAGATTTCAGACAGATTCTGCCGATTATTCATAATGCAGGTAGACAATACATTGTAAATGCATCATTAAGCTCATCTTACATTTGGGAAAAATGCAAAGTCCTAAGGTTAACTAGGAACATGAGGCTAACTGCAAACAGTGAGAGTTCAGAAATTGAACAAATAAGGGATTTTGCAAAATGGATTTTGGACTTAGGAGAAGGAAAAGTTGGATGTGATAATGATGGTGAAGCAGTTATTGAGATACCTCATGATCTTCTCATTACTGATCGCGTCGATCCTATATCTGTATTAATCGAATTTGTCTATCCCTCAATTCTTGAAAACATCAACAACTCAGCTTATTTTCAAGAACGAGCAATACTTGCACCAAAAAATGAAGTCGTTCAAGAAATAAATGATTGTTTGTTGTCATTGTTTCCAAGAGAAGAAAAGGAGTACTTAAGTTCAGATAAGCTATATGAATCAGAGCACCTTCATGATGAGTTTGATAAAACTTTGTACTTTCCTGATGTTTTAAATGGTCTTAAATTATCAGGAATAACAAACCATAAGATTTTACTAAAAGTTGGTGTTCCTATCATGTTACTCAGGAGTATTGATCAGAAATCTGGATTATGTAGCGGTACTAGATTGCGGGTGTTAACATTGGGAAATCGAGTAATAGAAGCACAGGTTATATCTGGAAGCAGTATTGGAAGCCGTACATTCATTCCAAGAATGTCCTTAACACCTACAGACAAAAGGATACCATTCAAATTTCAAAGGAGACAGTTTTCCAATTGCTGTATGTTTTGCCATGACCATTAATAAGAGCCAAGGATAATCATTATCAAAAGTTGATTTATTTCTAAAACGACTGGTCTTCACGCATGGTCAGCTATATGTTGCTTTATCCAGAGTCAAAAGCAAGCAAGGTTTAAAAGTACTAATTATGGAAGATGATGGTATTATTGACAGTAAAACAACGAATGTTGTATACAAAGAAGTGTTTAGTAATATATGATACATGGTTCTTATTTTATTAATGTTTTACCTATTTACCTTAAATTTGTTCAGTTTATATTATGTTATAAATCTTGTTTTACAACTTCATCTTATTAACTTATATTATTATTAATTTTTAAGAGGCTTATTTTTTATTTATGTTTTGCATTATAATTATCCGACTATAGAGGATCTGCATGTGCTATGCAGATTCTCTCACCCTGACTCCATGCTTCATACAGAGCTTTAGAGAGGGACTGCATCTACTACGCAGAGCCTCTGACCAAACTTCTGTATTTCATACAGAGCTTTAGAGAGGTACTACAGAAACCACACAGCACCTCTATGCCTGATTCCGTGCTTCATGCAGAGCTACACAGCAGCTCTGCATCTACAACGCAGAGCCTCTGTTTATGGAAAATTTATACAAACTTGTAGCATTGGCTATTTTTAGCAATTAACTCTTGAAAAGAACTTCAGACTTGTAGCCAGATTGGTCGTCTTGATTTAGAAGTCTTTATGATCATCGAAGTACAGAACAACCGTTGTATATGCCAACCTTAACTCATCATTAATAACTCTGTTTTTGCATGTACTAGGCAGAGTCTCTCAGCATGACTATGTGCTTCATACAGAGCTTCACAGAGGTTCCGCATAGCATCTGATCCTGATTCCTTACTTTATGCAGACCGACACAGAGGCTCTGCAGCTACACCGCAGAACCTATGTTTACGAAAGGATCATTCAGACGTGTGATTCGGAATAACCTTGACTTTAACTCTGGAGAAGTACTCCAGGCTTGACTTTTTCAAGAAAATAGTTATTTACAAGGCGGGATGCAAAGCATATAAAACCACGTGCTTCCTCCCCACAGGATTAAGAATAACGGTTTAAGTTGTCGATCCTTCGGGCCAATTTCCACTCAAGTGCCTATTAGTAAATTTATATTTAAATTACCATTTATCTCCAAAATTAAATTTATTGTATTTAAATTACCATTTATCTCCAAATAATTTACTTATTTACCTTTCGTTTGTTTCATTTATGTTATGTTATAAATTTTGTTTTATAGGTCCCTCATATTTACTCATATTATTATTATTATTTCTTTAGAGTGTCATTTTTTGTTTATGTTTTGCATTATAATTATCCGGCCATAGACGCTCTGCATGTACCACGTAGCTCCTCTGAGCCTCGCTTCGTACTTCACTCAGAGCATCAGAGAGGATTGATAAAGTCTTAGGTCTCGGATATACCTCATGAGATCTCTTTTAAAAATCGTGAAACCAACTCTTGTACTCGTCATCTGATCAAAGAAATCTGATGTGGCACCCCAGTCTCCACACATTGCATATTACATAGAATTCATTCATAAAATACATAAATTACCACATAGGTCCAAAATTACAAGAGTCTGTGCTACAGGTTTACGATACAAATTGCATAACTTAAAAATTCCAAAATACATGCATTTGTAAACTAGCATTGCTCTCCTCCAAACACATCTAGATATGGTTTTCAAGATTTAAGCACATAAGGGAAGTAATCATATAATGCTTTTTCCCTTATCGATATTATAACTGGTATTACCTACACACATATTTTAAAACATAAAATGAGGGTTAGACAAAAGTCTAGTGAGATTCCCTTTTTCATGCTATGCAGGGTGAGATCACCAAAACATTTACGAAAAATCTCTCAACATAATGAAGAATAATAAAAGAATCGCATCTTGTTTAGGTCCATCGGGCCTCTTGTTCAAAATCTCATACTTAGAAAAATAATGGTTTTCCAGTCCATCGGCCTCTGGTTCCATAGGGTCCATCGGGCCTCTGGTTCCAAAGTGTCCATCGAGCCTCTGGTTCCAGATACTGTAACGCCCCAAGCCACACATTGCATGTAATACATATTCCATACCAAAGAAATACATATTCATATACACATTGGGTCTACTAGTACAAGAAATCTACTGTGACCAAACACCAGGTCCAAAAATTCAAAATACAATCTTGTACTATTCATCAGAGCTACACATCAAAAGCAGAT